CTATCTATCTATCTATCTATCTATCTATCTATCTATCTATCTATCTACGGTGTTTGTCTGTATGCTAAGCATGTGCAGATGCCCACAAAGGCCAGGAGAAGGCATCTAGACTCTGGAGCTGGAGTTACAGTCCATTGTGAGCCACTTGATGTGGGTGCTGGGAACCACCCAGTGCCTGTCATCATCTTACTTACTTACTTACTTGTCTGTGCTTACATCAGTGTGTTTGACAGCACTGATCGTCACTGAGCTGAGAGGGGTTATGGACTTCACAGGGAGGTTACACTGGATGAGTGATCAGCTCAGGCTTGAGTGGAAGCTCAAATCAAGCTCCTGAGGGATGGCAGTGTGGCCTGGAGATGTGGTTCAGTTGGTACAGTGCCTGCCTCGAACAGATTTGGCCCTGACTTCAATCCCCAGCATCGCAAAACCAGACCAACCAACCAACCAACCAACCAAACAAACAAACAAAACCCAATCTCAGTGGCACATGTCTGAGATCCCAACACTTGGGAGGTAGGGGCAGGAGGAGAAATCTAAGGTCATCCTTGGCTACATATTGGGTTCAAGGTTAGCCTGGACCACATGAGACCTTTTCTCACATCTAAGAAAGAAAAAGAAAAAAAGAAAAGAAAAGAAAAAGGGGGTGGAGCACTGATAAAGTTGCTCAGTTAGTAAAAGCACATGCAGGGCAGGCCTGACCACCAGAGATTTTATTCCTGGGACCCACGGTGACAGGAGAGAATTGACTCCTGACCAGATCGGTACTGTGGCTCGTGCACCCTCCTGACTTGCCACTTGCACACACATAGGCACACACATACACATTTATTTTATGTATATGAGCCCCTAGATTCCATTTTGTTTTTGATTTGTTTTTTTTGTTTGTTTGTTTTTTCAAGACGGTTTCTCTTTATAGCCTGGGCTGTCCTGGAACTCACTCTGTAGACCAGGCTGGCCTCAAACTCAGAGATCTGCCTGCCTCTGCCTCCCAAGTGCTGGGATTAAAGACGTGCGCCACCACTGCCCGGCTAGATTCCATTTTTATTTTTATTTATTTATTTATTTATTTTGGTTTTTCAAGACAGTAGATTCCATTTTTAAATACTTAAAAATTATCTTTAAATACTTAAAAATTATCTTACATTTGTATGTCTGTGTTGTTATGTCATGGCATATATATGGAGGTCAAAGGCCAACTTGTGGGAGCTGGGTCTGACCTTCAACCATATTAGTCCTGGGGACTGGACTCAGGTTATCCGTCAAACTTGGTGATAGATATCTTTACAGGCTGGGTCAATCATGTCTCCAGCCCTGAGTTCTAGTCTTTGTTTTCTTTTGAATTAATCAGTGTGTGTGCTCTTCTGTGTGTTTGGGCATGGTGCTGTATGTTTAAGGATGTGCATGCTGCACACGTGTGGAGAGCACGCGTGTGGAGGGCAGAGGATGCCGGTGTAAAGTCTGGCCTCTGTTAGATTCTGGAATCAAACAGATCGGCAAGCTTGTACCACAAACACCATTATCTGATGAGCCATCTTCCCAGTGCCCCACCCATCCAGCGCCTTTTTATTGTAAAAGTTACAGAAAGCCACACAACCCATTCAGTATACATTTTCATGAATAATTTACAAAGCAAACAACCACACAGTCACTATCCCAGTCAAGCAAGGTACCGCTTCGCTGCAGCCCTCCGCCTTCATCCACCTCATGTGTCCCCTCTAGACTAAACCAGTGGCTTTTGCTGTGCGGACAAATGTTGGCTACAATCCGTCTCCAGGGGATGAGGTACCTGTACAGGGAGTGGCCATCACCTTTGAACCCAAGGACTTCCTGCACATCAAGGAGGTGGGCGAAACACTTGACACCTGGAGTGGGGCGAGGGTGGGACATTAGAGGTGTGTGGGAGGGGTGCCAGGAGAGGGGGGTATCTGGAAGTCTAATGGGAAAACACTGCTGAGCTGAGTGCAGCTGGGCTGAGTCCGCTGTGCACCCTTAGGCAAATCTCTTCACCTTTCTGAGCCCAATGAGTTTTCATCGGTTGGTAATGCCTAAGTCACAGAGATGCTGGGAGGGCTTGTGAGCCCTGTGATAGACCAGTGGTGTGCCCAGTGCATGTGTCTGCTTTCACTCCGACTCACAGCATGAATCTCACAGAGGCAGGAGCTTTCTTACCTTCTCTCTAACCTAGGGTGGTTCATAGTCACAGAGGGTCCTGGTCCTGGTCTTGTCTTGGGAATTGGGAGGATCTTATCAGAGGCTGAAGCCAGGGGTAGGGCTTCTTTGAGGGAGCCCTTTTCTGGCAGGGTAGGCAGCCTGGAGGTCTCCCCAGAAGGTAGCTATGTCTCCCACCTCTGGTTTCTCTCTTGGTCTCTTGTTCATAGAAGTACAATAACGACTGGTGGATTGGACGGCTGGTGAAGGAAGGCTGTGAGGTTGGCTTCATCCCCAGCCCTGTCAAACTGGACAGCCTTCGCCTGCTGCAGGAACAGACCCTACGCCAGAACCGCCTCAGCTCCAGGTGTCTGCCGAGGGGGTGGGAAGGACACTTGCTATCCCCGGTGAGGCCAGCAGGGAGGGGTAGTCCTTGGAGCTAATCCTTGACCTCCAAGACCTGCCCCTGGCCTTAAGGGGTGGGTGGGTGGGTTGGATAAGTACTCATGTGTACTGCGTGTGACGTCCCCCAGTCCCACGCCCACCTTTGCTCATCAGTTCCTTTGCTTCTCTGCCCACACAGCAAGTCAGGTGACAACTCCAGTTCCAGTCTGGGAGATGTGGTGACTGGCACCCGCCGCCCCACTCCCCCTGCCAGTGGTAAGAACTGCCTGCAACCTAGGGGAGGGAGAGTTTTTCCTGGGTGGGGTGGTCTCTCCACAGGGGTAGTCCCTCCTCCCTGCAATAGAAGGCACTCCAATTCTGAGTCCCCCAAACAAATGCAGTAGTACCCCCTCCATTAAGGATAGGCTATCCCCCCGAGCTGAGTCTGTCATGTCTCTCCTGTCCCTCTCTGTGGTAGTTCCATCTCTCTGCCTTCCCCCATACCCCCCATCTCCCATTCATTCTCCTAGCCCCGTTCCATTTACTTCTTCTTTCTTTCTTCCCCATCCCATCCTTGTGTTCTGCACTGTGTCTCCGTGCTCATCTCCTTCCTCCTCTCCCTTCACCTCCTTCCTGACTGGTCCAGGTAACGAAATGACTAACTTTGCCTTTGAGCTAGATCCCCTAGAGTTAGAGGAGGAGGAGGCAGAGCTAGGGGAGCACGGAGGCTCTGCCAAGACTAGCGTGAGCAGTGTCACCACGCCACCACCCCACGGCAAGCGCATCCCCTTCTTTAAGAAGGTAATTCTGTCTGGTTTCCTGTGAGGGGAGTCAGGACCCAGCTCTTGGCAAAGAAAAGAGGCTGGAGTGGTCCAGATGTGGTCCATTCTATACGTCCAGTCTCTGGCCTTTCTGCCTAGCTGGATGTATGGGGCTGGACTGGGGTGGGACCATACCTCTCTTTATAAAACCCTACTTCCCAACTCCTCAGGAAGAGGCAGCTCTTGCTTTGTCTAGTAATAAACACATCCAGTCTTTGTCCTCATGACTAATATATGCCCCGCTCTGATGGTAAAGGATGGGATGGCATTCATTTGCCCCTCTGGATGGTAAAGGATGGGATGGCATTCATTTGTCCCTCTGGATGGTAAAGGATGGGATGGCATTCATTTGCCCCTCTGGATGGTAAAGGATGGGATGGCATTCATTTGCCCCTCTGGATGGTAAAGGATGGGATGGCATTCATTTGCCCCTTTTCAACTCTGAGTGGATGGATGAGGGGCTCTACTAGATGTAGAACAGGTCCCCTGAAAATATACAGGAAGATACACAATGGGGCAGAGTGTGGGCCCTGGATCCGGGGCTTCCAGTGTCTCTAGCTCTTTTCAGAGCTAGATCTGGAAAGGCAGGAGGCCTGGCCCACTAGTCTCAAGTCCACTGGATGACTGTCTGTCCTGCCTCCAGCCTCCAAGGCCACCTTTGGCTCCCCTGTGGCATGGGGTCCTATCCCCTCTCTGGCTCTGTCTGTCACTAACACGCATGCCTGTTATTTTTCCTCGTCTACCCGCTCTCTTGCCCCTTTTCCTGTCCTGGCTCCTTCTGACCCTCTACCCCTGCCTGGTGCCTTCCCCTCTCTCCTTCCCTTCCCCATCCTGGCAATCTCTGGACCCAGCCAAACAGAAGCAGAAATCGGTGAGTATGACAGCTTTCTATGTCTGCCCCACTGGGGATGAACTGGGGGACCTTCTAACACCTGTTTCCAGATCTTTCTCCCTTTACCCTCCTTCCTGGTCCTGCCTGGCCATCTCCCACCCCCAACCCTCTGACACCGACATTTGGGCTCTGGGGTCAGAGGGAGGGAAGGCTGCATGGGGAGTCTAGACACTTGGGGAGAGGGGCTGATGCCATCTCTACTTTGGGATCTCCCTTCCCTGCTTCCCTCCCAGACAGAGCATGTGCCCCCCTATGACGTGGTGCCTTCCATGAGGCCCATCATCCTGGTGGGACCGTCGCTCAAGGGCTACGAGGTAGGCGCTCTGAAGGGCAGGGTGCCCAGATGGGCCCAGACCTCCAGAGTGTGCAGATATTCCAAAGGGTCCCATATCCCCAAAGCTCATATACCTTCAGAGAGAACCCTTAAGGGGGCCTGACCTATGGGAAGTCCACTCAGGAGGGCCCAGTCTCCCAAGGAAAATTCTTAAGACTCCTTTTGGAGATGCCACGTAAGAGACCAGTGGAATCAGACTGCATCAGAGGTCCCAGCCCCTGAGGAAGCTCCCACCCTTTTAGGAGCCTCTTCATCTCAAGAGTTTTGAAAGGTGGAAAGGGATGCCCAGCGGGCAGACCTCCTGGGGGGTTCGAGAGCCTGACTTCTCCCTTCCCCTCTAACCCTTGCATGACAGGTAACAGACATGATGCAGAAAGCGTTGTTTGACTTCCTCAAGCATCGGTTTGATGGCAGGTAGGACCCTGAGAGCTGGCTCTCAACCTGACTGTGGCTCCTTCCACCCATTTGGGGATACACAAGATGTCTAAAGGGACCACTCTGGGACTCTTAGACAGAGATAAGGGTGGCAAGCCTGGAGCCAGTGAGTGGACGGTATGTTCTTGCCCACCCAACCCCTGACGCCTTCCCTGCCCGGTCCTTCAGGATTTCCATCACTCGGGTAACGGCTGACATTTCCCTGGCCAAGCGCTCAGTCCTCAACAACCCCAGCAAACACATTATCATTGAGCGCTCAAACACGCGCTCCAGCCTGGGTGAGCTGCCCGCCTACTCTCCCCCTCCCGGGCTGTCAGGGTGGGTGGGGTGTGAAGTACTGGGAAGTCTCCAGAAGCTTTCCTTCTCTCCACTGCCTCCTGGGGAACCCTTACAATCCCCTCCCTGTCCCCATGCCCCAGCTGAGGTACAGAGTGAGATTGAGCGGATCTTCGAGCTGGCCCGGACCTTGCAGCTGGTCGCCTTGGACGCTGACACCATCAACCACCCAGCCCAGCTCTCTAAAACGTCGCTGGCCCCCATCGTTGTTTACATCAAGATCACATCCCCCAAGGTAGGTGCAGGAGACTGGCTCTTATGGCAGACACGGTCTACAAGGCATGTTCTGGAGACAGGGTGCATGGGTCGTGATGGGGTGACTGGCAGCTTAGTGTCCTTCTCTGTAAGGCTCATGGATATTGGGATTAGACATCCTAATATGGATGGAAAGTGTTGGGTACAGTGTGCCTTCTGTGTATTCAATATTAGAAATGTTACTAGGGTTACACGGGTCAGTCTCATTTCCAAACTTCCGGTTCATCATTGGGTCAGAAAAATGGAAGAACCTGGTATAATTTGTTCCAGTGTCACCCAGCTGTGTGGTGGTTGGAAAGTTTTGAATCTTCTAACATCAGGCCTTTTACGCTGTACGAAGTTGCTCGTGCGGACTTTGACACAGAGGGTAGTAGTAGGGATGCCATGAACTTTCTCCTTCCTTCCTCCTTTAAAAAGTTTTTCCTTTTATTCTTTTTTTTTTTTTTTTTTTTTTTTTTTGGTTTTTCGAGACAGGGTTTCTCTGTATAGCCCGGGCTGTCCTGGAACTCACTCTGTAGACCAGGCTGGCCTCGAACTCAGAAATCCGCCTGCCTCTGCCTCCCGAGTGCTGGGATTAAAGGCGTGCGCCACCACCGCCCGGCCTTTTCCTTTTATTCTTATTAATTATGTATATATGTTTTGAGTATGTGCGTGTGAGGCCAGAGGCAGAGAATCTCCCTGGAGCTGGAATTTCAGGTTGTGAGTTGTCCCTTGTGGAGGCTGGAACTCAAACTTGAGTCCTCTTAATCACTGAGCCAGTCTTTCCTTAGCAAAGCAGCATTGCCCTGTGTCTCTTAAACTTGCTGTCATCTGCCTTAGCCTGCCAAGTACTGGGAATCAGGCAGGTGACATTATTCCTGGCTCCATGAACTTCTTCTTGTAGATGCTAGTGGATTTAAGAGACATGGAGGGAAGGAATCAGGTTGCGGTTTTGTTCTTAATTTTTCACTCAGTTATACGATTTGGAGGCAGGGTACTCGACTTGTAGCCTAGGCTGGCCTTGAACTTACAATCCTCCTGCCTCAACCTGTCCAGGGCTGGGTTACAGGCCTAGGCCAGCACACCTGGCTCTCTGAAATTTGAGGGATAGAGGTGAGGGGTTTAAAGGCCGTTTGTACAATCCAGCTCATGATGGTGGCCGGCAGTAGTGACCATGGGCGTGTCCTGTGAGCTAAGAACCCTGCCCACTGTTTCCTTAAGCCTTCCAAGACTTGATCTCTACTGACATATAACTGCCAGGGTAGGATTTACATACCTGGAAGAGGTTGCAGAGATCAAACAAGGTAATGGATGCAGAAACACTCTGTGGCCTAGAAAGTAACGGTCGTTCCGCTTCCTTCACTGAGGTTATGGGCATGGGCTCTGAGTGCCTGCTTAGCATTACTGTGTTCTCCTGGCAACTCATGTAATATCTCTGTGCCCTAGTTTTGTCATCTTCTGCTTAGTCACGCTTCAGTAATCACCGTGAAAACTTAGTATATGCATTAATTATGCCAAAAGCCTGGTGCCCACGAAGGTGCCATATTCTTCCTGTTAGCTTTATTTTCAGTTTTTAGGACAGGATCTCAAGAGGTTTGCGTTGGCTTTTAATTCACTATGCAGCTAAGGATGGTCTTGAACTCCTGATCCTCTTGATGTAGTCTCCCAAGTGCTAGGATTTCACGCATGTGCTGGCGTGTGTCACTATGTTTTATTGGTTTGGTTTTTCTGTGTAACATTCCTGGCTGTCCTGGAACTCACTCTGTAGACCAAGCTGGCTTTGAACTCACAGAGATCTTCTTGCCTCTGCTTTCCTGACTGTTGGGATTAAAAGGTGTGTGCCACCACCTGGCTTGTTTTGTTTGTTTGTTTGTTTTTGTTGTTGTTTTGTTTGTTCTAAGACAGGGTCTCCTCTATCCTAGGCTGGCCTTGAACTCATTGTGTATCAAAGGATGACATTGAACTTGTGTGTGTGTGTGTGTGTGTGTGTGTGTGTGTGTGTGTGTAGGCCAGAGGACAGTCTCCAGGTGTCACCACATTTTTTGAGACCGGGTCTCTCACTGGTCCGGTAGGCTAGGTTGACTCATCCCTGGGATCCATCTGTCTTTACTTCACCTTCACTGCAATAGTATTTACAACACCACATCCGACTTATTTTTGCTTTTTTGAGACAGAGTTTCTCTGTGTAGCCCTAGCTGTTCTGGAACTATCTCTGTAGACTAGAGCTGGCCTAGAACTCAGATCCCCTGCCTCCTGAAGTGCTGGGATTAAAGGCGTATGTCATCACCCCCTGGTTCACTATGCCCAACTTCTTATGTTGATTTTGGGATTCGAACTCAGGTCTTCAGGCTTGGAAGGCAAGCACTCTACCAGTGGTCTTGAGCTTTTTGATCTGCCTAATTCCACCTCCTCCATTGCTAGGGGCCAAACCCAGCCTATCTTTCTTATGAGCTGAGCAAGTGCTGTGCTCCATGCTATACCTCTCATCTGATTTTATTTTACTTCAGTTGATGAATCCTCGTTCTTGTTTTCATTAGCCAAGACTGGCCTCATCCCTGGCCCTCCTGCTTCTGACTCCTGGGTACTGGGATGACAGTGCCATTGTGCCCAGCTCCAATGTTATTTATTTATTTTTGTCTATGATTTTGTTTGAGACAGCATTTTATACCGTGTAGCCCTGGCTGGCCTGAACCTCACTCTGTAGACCAGGCTGGGGTTATAGAGATGACCCACTTCTGCCTCCTGAGTGCAGGAACTAAAGGTGTGCACCACCACCTGGGGCTTTCATTTCTAGTTTTGAGATAAATTATAAGCTCATATATAAAGTATGAGCCCCTGAATTCAGTTCTTCGCACATACTTAACAACAAATCTTACGCCTTCATTCCATTTACTTCAGCGTGTGTCTGTTTGTTTGTTTGTTTGTTTTGTTTTGTTTTTTTTCCGAGACAGGGTTTCTCTGTATAGCCCTGACTGTCCTAGAACTCACTCTGTAGACCAGGCTGGCCTCGAACTCAGAAATCTGCCTGCCTCTGCCTCCCAAGTGCTGGGATTAAAGGCATGCACCACCACCGCCCGGCTCAGCATGTGTTTCTTAAGGCCAGGAGCTTTCTGGGAGAGTGAGTCAGGAGGATCAGAAATTTGGGTCAGCCTCAGCTACATTGTGAGTTCATGGATAGCCTGGGCTTGCCTCAATGCCTGTTTCTCCCATACCCTGTGTTTTCTAAAACTGGTAGACACTTTTAATCCCAGCACTCAGGAGGCAGAGGTGGGTTGATCTCTGTGAGTTCAAGGCCAGCCTGATCTTCATATTCAGTTCCAGGCCAGCTATAGTTACATGGTGAGACCCTGTCTCAAAAAACAAATAAACAACAACAAAAAAAGCCCATATTGAGCTTTTTTTTAAACTGTCCCTATGATACCAAGATCATCCTGCATGTCTCTTTTTTTTCCTTTCTTTTTTAAAGAATGATTTTTT